AGCTAAGTTCCTCCATGCATGGTTCTGGCATGAGCATCGGAGATGACTAGGTTGGTGAATTTTGACTGACGAGGTAGTATTGCTGGATGTTTACTATCATCATCCAGCTGAGAATTTTGCAGCCGTCCACCAACCCTGAGAATTCCAGCACAATCGACAAAGGCGGTGAGTCGCGTCAAAACGTGACGTTTGTTGAGAGATTGTTGTGCCGACAACGTTCTCAATTCTGGTGAGAAATACGCCTCTTGAGTCGCGCGTATCAAGAACGATTTTGCCTTCTCCAGATCTGCTGGATTCAATAGCGATGCGGACAAGCTCGAATCAGGAACCTTTTTAAAGCGCGAGACCGCTCTCTGAATGATTGCCGTGATCCGAAATAGTTAAGTGAGAAGCCGATGAAAGGAGGATGATTGCGGAAGGTCAACGAGGTCCCAAACTAGAGGTTGGGCTTGTGAGAGKGCAAGTGAGATGCCAGGACGTTCCTCCATATCCTCTTCCAGTGAGGGTAGCACTGACGAGGGCAAAAATTCTGGCGACTGAGAAAGCCATAGTGGACCACTCCACCATAGTGGGTGATCAATGAGTTGGATGCACTGAGACCACGAGATGCACAGTCAGCTGGATTGAGCTTTCCRGRSATGAWTCWCCAATGAGCATGGGGTACAGACTCGTGAATAGCGGCTACCCTATTGCCTACGAATTCCTTCCATCTCATAGGATTGGTTTTGACCCATGCAAGGGTCACAGAAGAGTCAGACCACAGAAAAGTAAGAACGTCCGAGAGGTCGAGAAGTCTAATTACTTTTGCGGTCAGCCTGGCTAGCAGAGCCGCTGCTGAGAGTTCAAGTCTAGGAATGGTCAACYTCTTGAGAGGAGCTACTTTCGTCTTAGCACAGAYCAAACTGACTACTGAAGATGAGTCAGCATACGACACCCTGAGATATACAACTGCTGCCATAGCAAGTTGAGAGGCGTCTGAGAAGCCATGAACCTGTACTGAGGTCGCCTTTGACGAGAGGTTTATCCATCGGGGAGTCTCTATGACCGATAGCTGAGAGAGATGTTGCCTAAACTGGGACTACTCGTGAACTATGTCAGGAGTGAGATGATTATCCCAACCAACCTTTTCCAACCAGAGTCGCTGCATGAGGAYTTTCGCTTTGATCACTACCGGAGAGAGGAGTCTAAGAGGATCAAACAATTGGGCAACTTCGGAGAGAATGATGCGTTTCGTGACAGCTTGAWKGAAAGAGATGGTACCGTGAAAAGAAAACACATCTTTCTGAGAGTTCCAGGAGATGCCTAAAATCTTGGTAGTGCTATCATCGAACGAATGAACAGGCGAGCTGTCAGACTGTGAGMGAGAGGTGCGAGTGARRTTAGRAGAATTACTTTTCCACTTGTCAAGTGGTAAACAGGCAGAGGAGCACATGTCTTCTAACTGAGATGCTACGGCATTGAGATTATCAATAGTCTCTGCCCCCCCTGATATGTCGTCAACATAGCTTCCCTTGAGAATAGGGTTGACCGCGAGAAGATACTTATGACCTTCATCTTCAACGAGCTGTCTAAGAATGCGACAGGCTAGATAAGGAGCCGAGCGCGTACCGTATGTGACAGACGTAAGCTGATATGCCTGAA